GTTTTAAGACCACATTTCTCCACATTCCTCTTGGCTACTCCTTTTCTTTCACATGCAGGAATCATCCCTCCTTTGCCATATTGCTTAGTTTTCATTATTACTTCTTTATTGGTTTGGATCCTGAAAGAGAAAATAAAATGGAAAAAAAAAGAGAAAGAAAAGAGTTTAGGATTATTCTAAGCTTGCTTTCATAAGCTTCATGCACATCTCTGATAGGGTACGTAGTGGGTCATTTGAGGTTAGGAACTTATCAGAGCTTTTTTATTATATATTTATTTTATATATTTTTTAAATTTTTATTTTTTTTTTTTTACTGGGGAGATAGTAATGATGAGATGCAGATGGAAAAGTGGCAAAGGGAATAGATAGGATGGTGCTGCACACAATCTCTCTGCTCCTTCAACACAAGATGAAATTATTCTTGTGTTAAGCATATGACTTCTTAAAGACCAAAGTCTTGTCTACTTCAAGCTCTGAAACTTAACCAGAGAATTTTAGTTTCATGTCTTGGCTTATAGCAGGGACATGAGATATCACACAAGACGTGGGCTTTGGTGTCTTTATGAAAGCAAGTAATGGCCTGAACGATTTTTGCAACTTCTTAAAGTATGTATCTAGTGAGGAAAACAAGTAATGAAGAATTCATTTTTAACACCACTTGCACTTGGCTTCATACTGAGTTGCAGAAGCCTGATGTTTTCTTGCTTTCCCAGTTGCCCTAGCAGGCAGAGAGGAAATTGGTGGTGGGGACAGCATGGTGTAGAATGTGCAAGGGGCCACAGGTGCTAATCCCAGCTCTGATATTGATTTACTGGGCAAATCACTTTGCTTCACATATGCCTATCAGTAAAGATCAGGAGGTTAATACTTGCAACACTTCTCTCATGTGAAATGTGATGATTGTAAGAGCTGGTGTGTATCCAGAGCTTCCAAGATGTGAGAGCTAAGTGCTCTTACAGAGCCTTTTGTCCTAATATAGCTCCTCTCTGTATTGCAGGTAGTGTGCATGCTGCCAGCCAGAGGCTGGGTCTTTCCTTTCCTTGAACCTCCTTGCAATGACTATTACAGGGCAGGGTTTCCTACATTTTTACAGTGGGAAGACTGATGCTGTCAATCTTAAGTAGACAGGGTTTTAAAAAAAAAAAGCTTCATTCACCAGTAAGTTACTTTCATCTCCAAATGTAATAGGAGACTAGTTCTGCTTACTGGTCTGTGATTTTTAGAATTCGCTCACTTGCTTAGAATAAATGGGAAAAGTAGTACCAGGGTGAGATGAGAACCTGTCATATCTGAGGAAGATAAAAGGGAAGGGGAAACTTGAGGTAACACCGCTTAATGGTTTTCTACCCTACAGGCTATGTGTTATTTACTTTCTCCCGGATCCTCCAAGAGCTGGTACTGGCATATTTCCAGTCCTATAGGGCTTTGCTAAAGTAAAGGATTTTAGATGCTTATGTGGACTCAGGAGATCAGAATTCTCTTCTGTGCCACAGATTCAGGAAATACGTGGCTTCTGTATGTCTTATTTTCCAGCCTCTGGAATAATGCTCTTTATTTGCTTTTCCTGATTAGCTTTTCAGAATGCGTGTTCTCTTCCTTTATGGAGTCATTCAGGCACTCACACACACACACATACACACAGACAGATGGATAGATACAAGTATACAGCATTTACAGGGGATTGTGTAAGTCATACAGTGATAGAACTGATGCAACACTTGGAAATTTTTAAACCCTTCTTGTTGGCCTGTTTGGAAATAACTGTGTACTACCACTGTGCCATGTAATGTGCCAGCAAAGCATTGGCTTGCACAGAGATGGAGGCAGGTGCTGAATTATGCCCTTGTTTTACCAAAAATCTCCTAGTTGGGGGCTATCCTAAAAGACCCCTGCATCATACTGGAGGGAATAGGGTTGGTGGGTGACCAGCTGTAAATCCAAATTCAGAAATCCTAGCTGCAACATAACCATGTAGTACTTGTGGCATGATCCCTGCAGCATTTATTTCTTGCACGTGACCCCTGGGGAATGTGTTTGTTGACCTTCTCACTCCTGTCACGTTGGGGGCTTTTTTCATATCAGAATACGTTGCTGTGCTTCTCTCTGTCCCTTGACTTGTCAGAGACACAAATCTTTTTCAAATGTTCTCCCCTGTTCATTTCCATTATTATATCTGGTGCTTCTGGGTGGCAAGCAAAAATGAATAACCTTGTAAATGCTCCCTGTCTTTCAATTTGTTTTATTTTTCATACAACAAGTCAGTGCATTTTTGTTGAGTGTTTTTAATAAGATGAAGTTGATGAAAATAAATTGCTTTGTAGTTCCTGCTGTGGGTGACAGAAATGCTGGGTCTGTGATTTTCCAAAACTGTGCATTTGAAACCAGTGTGGAGGGTGTTCTGTATGCCTGTAACTGCAGTCACCTTTGTAAAATACCTCATAGAAAAAGAAAACAGCTATCAGTTTGAATTTTAGGGAGCAAGATGCACTGCTGTGTCCAGCTTCAGTGAAAGAGGGAGCTGTCAAGGAGAAATTTAGGATTGATTCTGTGCCAGTCTTGGGTCTGCCATACGGGGTAGTTAGCCAGATCTGTCTCTAGTATGAGAGGAAGAATGAATTATAGAGCAAACCCTCTAACCAGACTATTAGCCAAGGCTTGAAAAGTAAGGATTTGGACTTGAAAATGTGAACACCCCATTGCCCATGGCTACTGCATGTCAGCTTTCTTCTAAGCAGTTCAATGTCTTGCTCAAAAAAATGTAATGCAGATAAATGGAGATCTCCAAATTACCAAGGTGTACTCAGTAGACAGTCTGGTATCTACTCATCTCTTCTTGGAGAGAAGATAACGCACCTATTCCAAATGTGATTTTCAAGTCAAGAATTTTCTTTTTTTCTTACTCCTTTTAATGAAGAAAAAAAAAAAAGGTCAGTATTGTCATATTTCTTATAACTGTTTGTTTTGATAAAAGTTGCAGAAAATGCCATTTTAATTCCCAAAAGTTTATAATTCCAGTTTGTTGTCCACTTTTTTTGTGCTTTTTGTACTACTTACTTAGCTGGCAACACAATGTTAATGTCCATTTCTAACTGCATTCTCTGCTGCACTTTTATTAGTCAGCACTCTCCTTGTACTGGTTGGGAGCTGGCACATGGAAGTTGCACAGGAGCTGATAATGGACCAGGAGCTCGGGTCCGACTTCTGCAACTTCAAAGCTAATGCCATTATCATTAAGCCAATTTTACCTGCCTCAGAAAAGCTTTTAGTCCTTCTACTGTTATGTCTTTTTGGAAACATTGAAAACAGAAACAATTAAGCCCCAAATTTATAATAATTTTCTCCTCTTTCCATTTCAAATTCAGAAATTACCTCCAAGATTATGCTGCTTGAGGTACAGACAAGACAGTATCCCGGATTAATTATTTTCATTGTCCACTCAAATTTGAAGAGTTGGATTAATACTGGCAGTAAAACTAGCTTGCTGTAAAGCACAGCGTTTAGAAATAGGGATCATACTGCACGTACAGTTCAGCCTTGTCTGCTGTGCTATAGGGAGGAAGGGACAGAGAAGTACACTCAAACTTTGGAAAAATACCCAGTTATGTTTGCAAGTTTTCTGGTGATGCCTCTTAAACTGCCAAAGTTTTGAATGCCCTGTTCAGCCTTGCATTTCTGTTTTACAGAAACAACTTTTCAGATTACATGCCTTGTTGTGCAACCCTGAAACTCACTTCAAAGGAGTTAGGCAGTGAGGGAGTACAGGATTCTGCCTCTCTTACAGGGTTTAAACCAGCTAACTGAGCCAAAGTACATTTTTTTTTTTTTTCAGTAAAAATAATTTGTTGTTTACACTTCTCATTTCAGACTGAATAAATAATGTTACTGCACTTCATTCTGTATTAGAATAGTATATACTGGGCAAACAAGCAAGGAGACAGAAGAGCATAAAATCACAGCAGAGATGGAAAAGGTCCATGGAAGTTTCAAGCAATCCTCTTGCCAATAAAAGTCTATTGTTTAGTCCATATTACATCTGGTTTATTTTTAAATGCTTCAGTTGATGGTGTTCCTGCCAATTCCCTGGGGAAACTATTTCATTCCTACTATTAGGCAACATTTCCAGAGATTTACACTAAGTTTTCCTCTGCTTGGCTGCTTTTCATTACCCCTATTTGCAACTACTTACAACAAGATGATCCCTCCATGGCAAGTCCTTTCCTTCCAGAAGATTTCACTCTTCTCTCTGTGACTGCCAAGAGCCATGTGCAAGGTCTGGGGTTTATTCTGTTGCTCCTAGATCCTTGTTGTGCCACTTTTATTCACTCGGTGTCGCATTTTTCATGTGAACTCCAAAGGAGGGCAACTACTTCACCAAATCACTGATGTTAAGTAGCAGAAGCTGAGGCCCTTAAATGGGCTGCACACATGTAGGGGGGTTTTATCTGTTTTTCATAATTCAATTTCTTATTTTCATAATTGGTATAATTATATCAATTCATTATTTCATATTTTAAATTATTAACCATTTTTAATTCCCTTTAGTTTGTAGACATCTGTCTGGTTCTCAGGTGTCCAAGGCAAAACAGTATGTGAGTACAGTTTCGGCACAGCTGTTTTATAAAGGAGCTGTCAAGTTGGTTAAGGGACCTGAGGCTTCCTAGTACAGTTTTACTCCACCATAGCTTTAAAAGCTGCTGTGAAATCTGAGATCTGATTGTTCTCTTCTTCCCCTCCTGGTCTTTTGAGTCATCTTTGGCTTACAGATTTTCTTTCACTGTTATATTGAGTACTGAGTCCAGCAGTGGCATGTCTAAGTTTGCAGAATCTCTGTTAAGGATATTAATCATTCCTGATTTTAAAATTCTGATCCTTTTCGTCTGGTCTTCCCAGAAGTATTCTCCTTGACCTCATGTAAATGGAGGTGTTTGTATGTACTGCGTGAATGTGAGCAGGTTTGTATGATAATATGCTTACAAAATCCTGGCTTTGTTATTTTCTAGGTATTTGGTGCTAGAACATGTGTCAGGTGGGGAGCTCTTTGACTATCTCGTAAAAAAGGGAAGATTGACACCAAAAGAAGCCAGGAAGTTCTTCCGACAAATCATCTCTGCTTTAGACTTCTGCCATAGTCATTCAATATGGTGAGTACAGCCATTTCTAACAGGAATTACCTGTTACATAAAAGCACAGAATAAACAAATCTTGTTTCTTGATACTTTTGCTTACTATTAAGTAACTGATGTTAAAAGCATTGTGTAAAGAGCTGATGTATGTTTTAATTCTTGGACATCTGTGAGACAGGGCGCCAGTCACAGATAAACTGTTCACGGGGAAGTTCATCTGTCATTTCTCACCAGAGGAGAATTCATTCACAAGGACTGCTTTAACCAGGAAAACCAAAACCACAAAGGAAAAACAATTTAATTTCCATCATTCTTGGGGCACTTGCCAATAACTAAGTTATACTTACACTGTATCAAAATGAATCCCTGAAGAAACCTGGGACAATTACAAATACAGCAAAGTAATTTTATGGCTTCCTTCAGTTTTTGGAAACCTGCTGGCTTTTGGCAACCTTCACTGAGTCCCTTCTGGGCATTTGAGTCACTGTTGCCTTTAATTTCATTTCCAGTATGGAAGAATTTCATTGATCTGATTGCTGTTGCTACTCCATCATATGATTTAACCACCAAGTGTGGTTTAACCTGTGCTTTCAGGTGGTGTTTTAAATTGGACGAGTTTCTCCTTCATTTTCAGCATTTAAGTAACTTAAATTATATTGAAATCAAGTTGTTATAATCAGTCTGAGCAGAAGAGTTTCTACATAGCTGCTGACCCATAAGTTGACTGCTTATTTCTCAGAAATGTAGCTCCTCACAGTTAGATTGGCTGGGGGACACCATTAACATTGTGTCTGTGTGTCTGCTTCTCCATAACCACAGGCAGCCTTAGACACCCCATCTGTGGTGGAAGGTGGAAGGCCACTGATAGATACTGTGGTAGCAGTAACCATACAGTGATTTTCTGTACCCCTAGTTTTGTGCTGACAAGTCACAAACCAGACACCCATGGCATAAATGGCCACCATAAAAATGGATGCCTAAATATTTACCTTGCTTTTCCAGCTCTCTCCCTCTACATCTCTGGATCATTTCAACAGGAAATACTAATATGAAAGCGCGTATATTTCTAATAAATAGAAAGGGAGATTAGAACCTTTATGAAGGATATATTAAAGAGAGCATACTGTTAGCAGGAGAGGCAGTTCAAAGGTGGTGGATCTGGGTGAAAAAGATCCTGAGGACAATGCCTGCCTGACACTGGCAGGGTTACAGTAGTCATAGAAATTCCCAGAGAGAACAGGTTGCACACAATAACTAGAGGATCTAAGTTTTTTCTGTTGGCAGAGACCTCTGACAAGTTTTATTCTGCAAATTCCACAATTTTCCTCCCTGCTAATCAGCTGTATTGAGTGAGAAGACCTTCTTATAATCAGCATAATCCTTGGTAGGTTGTACAGCTGTTATTTTTTATGCACTCCGGGCAGTGAAACTGCTGGTGGATTGCATACATACATACATGTTTTGTTCCCTACTTGGCTTAACACTTAGAGACCCAGTCCAAGAAGACTCAAAAATGTTGAAGTGCAACTGAAGAGAAATTATTTGCTCTTCCCAATGAATATTCCATAGAAATATGAAACTCCACTGGGATAGAATTTTCTGCAAAAGCATGCATGTGTACCCATGCGTTCTAGTCCTTTGGGCTTGTGATGGATACCTCTTGATATGACAGGCGTTAATAAACTGAGTGAGGATAATGGTGAGGCTGTCAGACAGACAAGCACTTCTGCAGGTTTAACTATATGTGGAATTTCCAAGGCAGAGTGTATGCCTCTCTTGAGGAATCCATTTTCCTCTGTTCAACATACTGGATTGTGGGCAGTAGTCTTGTTTAGGAGTAAGTCCCCTGTCTCCTTGCCAGCTCCCACTGGACTAGCATCTAGTGCTGAGTAAGTTAGCAGTAAATCATAAGCTTTCCCTCCCGCCAGGTCACTCAAGGTGGTATGTGTTATTAACTCTGTGTTGCATTCTGGACAGTCATCATTAAACCTTTTTTGAAAATCAGAACATGCATAAATATATGTATGTGCATGTGTGTGAGTATAAAAGTTAATGTGCTTTCCTAAGCAATGAAGCCTGACCTTGTCCTGTCGTGGGGCAGAGAAATGACAAATCATCTCATCAGCTGGGTTATCCAGTTATGACCACGCTGAAAAATGAAGGCTTCTGTTTTGGTTAATGACTAAGTGTGGGTGCCTCTAACCTACTGGCAGAATAGATTGATAGCCTGGTGTCCCCAGCCCCATATTATTGTCCCATCTTCTTCCTGTACCTCCCAAAACACTGTGAAATATCTCTGGCTTACTTTCACAGCCGTATGTAACCACATTCGACTTTCACTGCTGAAACTGTTTTGATGCACCAGGATTCCCAGATCAAAGAATCAAAAAGGATTCCCTAATCCTCCCGTCAGTAAAAGGCTTCTACTGCTATTGTGTGTGGGGATCCCCTGTGTCTGAGAGGTGTTTTCAAAAAAGCAGTTCAGGAAAAAGGAAACAGAATAGGTTGGAGCTTGAGTCTGTGTGTTGGTTTGAAAAAATTTGAGCTTTCTGTTCTTTATTTAACAGAAACAGTGGGGGAATATTTGATGTACCTTACTCGAAGTTGGAGTCACTTATGGGGTTTTGTGGTACAGGTTGGCCACGGGGAAAGCTTATAGGTAACCTACTGTAGGGTTTTCTAAGGACTTTTCTGTAAACAGAACATTGTGCCATGATAGGGACCCACAGACAACCGTGAATGCAAATGGACAGCACCATGCCAGAGGTATTTATGGGATCCTGCAAAGTGTATCTGTGTTACCTTGCTGCTTTCCCTGAGCTGGCAAGCCAAGCAGTTAGATCAGTGATGCAGCATTATTGTTTCTGGTTCCAGCTCTTCTTCTATACTAGCTCTGAGGGCTCTGCACCATGCTGCAGTGCCCAGAGCAGACATGCTCAGAGGTGGTGCAAGAGATGGCAGAGGAACCTGGGGTTCCCTGGACATCAGTGTAAGACCATCCTAGCCTGGGAAGTTTTCTTTGGACAGAACTGATGTTTTTTTTCCTAAGCTGCCGTTTACCTAATGCTGCATGTCTGCTGTCCTAAATTCAAGGCCTTTAAGATGTCTCAGCTGGGTTCCCCAAATTAACAGTTCCTTTTGCGTATCGTGCCTCCATACAGTGGGAGACCTCTCAGCTAATTCAATGCGGACTGAGTTTCTGTCGGAAACAATGTAGGAGCACGTATTGGGGTAGGTCGCAGATCCTTGCTTCTCTGAGGAAGTCTCTTTTCTCAGGAGCAGGGAATGCTGCAGCACCAAGTGAGGGTTGAGCCTGGCGAGGGGAGCTGGCGGGCGCCTCATTGGCTGGGCGTGACATCACCTGCAGGAGCTGGGATTGGCGGCCAGCGCATTTTATGTGTGTGTTGGGTTTTTGCTTTGGTCAAGCTCATATTTGGTGTCTGTGTCTCACAAGCTGACAAATAAAAATATGATTACAGAAAATGCCCCATGGCAAACCTTATTATGGCTTCAGAGATAACAGATAATGCCAATTACTGTGCAGGGCACTGGTGACATGGAGAGGAAATCCCCTGCGGTAATGAGCAGCGAGATGATTATTTCATTTTATTTTTATTTTGGTTGCGTTTCATTTTGTGGGTTTGTGGTTTTTTTTTTTTCCAAAGCATGCACAAGAGGGGTTAAGGCAGGTTCTTTATGAATATTGATAAATGACAATTATGAGGGCCCTTTCTCCTTTCATTGCCTGGAGCTGTGCTTGCTTGAGTACGCACAAGGCTCTTGCTGAAGTGCGTCTGTATGTGCATGCGTAGGCATGGGGGTGTGTGACAATGAATAAGAGCTTTGTCTGACTTTGCCTTGTGTTTTTCCCATCAGTGCAGGTGGGGGACAGTCTACTTATAAAATAATGCTTCAAGATTTCACAGCAGTAGTGCCAAAATCTCTGGTATATTCCTGCAGGCAGAAGCTGCATAGCACTGTCAGTAAAGGAAGCACACTTTGGGGGGAAAATCTGGTGTGTCTTCAAGAAAAAGAGAAAGCTGAAGAATGCCAGGTGCCATGGCATTCTGTCAGATAGTGCCACCCTCCTCATAACTCCTGCTCTGCCTTGTTTGCTTCATTTATAAGGAGTGTGCTATGGTATTCTGCAGGGATGGTCTGTCAGACACTTCAGACTGCAGCAGCTGGACACTTTGAAATCAGGATTTAAGGCCTCCAAATGTCAAACTGTTCTAGAAATTGTGGAATTTAACAAGGTTGGCTTCTGGTTGGTTATTTTCTGGCCCTTGAGTCTTTAGGTTTTCAAGTTCTTTTTCATGCCATCAGAAGGGAGAAAGGTACCTTTTTCCCCTGTTCAGAGCTGAGATTCACCAATCATTGCCTGAATCCAGGACTTTCAGTTCTGTGATTGAGACACACTCTAAAGCAGTGAGGAATTTCAGATTCCCCTTGTACAGGGAACCAGAAAAAAAACATCAAGTACAGCAGCTGAAATGCCAATGGCAGAGTTACCAGCTCAGCTAAAATGGATTTTTGCAAGTTTACTTTTTTATATAAACCACTGGAAACTCAGAAACGGCATAGTCATATTGTAAGCATAACCAGGTAACATTCTCTGGTGAGGACAGTATTGGTGATCAGAACTGACAGCCTGTTCTGGCTTTGAAATAGTGAATATACATTTTGAGGTGAAGTCGGTAGGGAGAAGCAATATATTTTCATAGATCCATGAAAATAGTCATTTAAAAGCGAGCAAGGTGTTAGGCATACAAACTCTTCTCCAGGTCTCCTGTTATGTTTATAGGTGTTGTCGTTTTTCCTAGCTATAACTATATTTACTTGTTCTGCAGAATTCTGTGAAAATTTACTAAATTTGAGCATAGCAACCATAGCTCGAAACAAAGATTCTTCTGTAGGTAGATAAAAGTTACATGTTCGGATCTGGTTTGCAGAAGCAAGAAAAAATAAGGTGAAAGGCATTTCTGCTCATGAAAATTGAAAATGTTGCTTCTCATACTATTAATTATTACCGATAAATTATTTGCATCACATCAGGCACTTTTAAGAGGCAGATTGCAGAGCTATTATTCTGTGGTCTGGCCCTTCTGGGAGTTTGGGGTCAGTAAGAAAAGCATTTGCAAAGTAGCCAACAATTTGATTAGTACAAACGACCTGCAACCACTCCAGTTAGGAGGTTTCTTGGGTTAGAAATCTATGACCTATAATGACTTGTCATAGAAACTGATAGGAAAGTTTCAGCTCAAAAATCACTTTAAAATAATGGGTTAGTTCATCGTGCCAGGTGACATAGCTCCTTTGAATCCAAAATCTGGAGTCTGTCCCTACACCAGAAATCTGCCAACCCTGGGTGACAGGGAGAGAGTGTTTTACTTCTCTTGCAGTTGCCTGCAGTACAGATACAGGGATATTCTCAGAGCAGGCGGATGGACTAGAAAGTCAGTGGAGGGAGCTAAAGAAGCTGTCTGTACAGCATCACTGGGAGCAGGCAGAAACCAAGCATGGCCAATGTGTAAGTGGAAAGATGGAACATGTTAACGCATACGTGTGCGTCTCATTTTCTGTGTACCATCTCCACGAACTGGGCCCATTTCCATGACCTCTCTATGCACCTTGTGCTTGGAAGGTAATCGTAAAACCTTTGTTGTAATCTGTCAAAGAGGGACTTTTCAGAGAGTCTGACTGTGTGTGCCTCCCCTGTCATGGCTTGTTTAATGGCTCCCTTTCATTCATATGCTCTTCCTTCAAAAACCTACTGTACGCAGGGTCCTGGTGCTAACTTCTTGCTCCATTGTCTTTGTTGAGAAGCTCTAGTAGCCTGTGGCCGCCCTGGATCAGGGTTACACTGGCTTCTGCAGTGCTGTATTTCTCCTTCATATTCTTTCTCAGCATATGCAGGGCTGAAAAGGAGATTTTGCCATGTTTGTCAATAAAGAGGCTGCTTTTTTATCTTATGATTTTCCAGCCGTGTGATAAAGCCCTACAGCTTTAGAGCCTTTCGAACAAGGAAAGGGTAACGAGTCCTCTGTTCACCTGCAGAGAGAGGGTTGATGCGGTCATGTAAGACATGGAGAGCCAGGGAGATCAGCTGAAATGGGACCAAATTAAATGCATTTACTCTGCAATGTTCCATTAATGCCAAGTAATTACCACATAGAGTGGGATTTTTGTTTTGTTTTGTTTCATTTTGGCACAAAATAATTCTTTCCAAATATGAATGCATGAGGCTGTCCAGGCTGCTGGGCTCTTAGGTAGATTATAACAAGCCTTCCTTATTCCCACATGTTCTTCTCTCTTCCTTCTGGCATTTGAAAAGCTGGCAATACAAAGATGGGAAATGCAAATGCAGAGAGGAAGTCTCATTCTCAGTGGCAGTGATGCTGGTTCTGCCACTGTGGTACAGACTCCTGGCCTGACTTCTATCCCCAGGTTGCTGCTTTGGTAAATGCAGAGTGGTCCAAAGATGGATAGCAGAGAAACATTCCAGCTAGAAGAAAATTTTCGTTCACACACTCTTGTGGAAGCACTGCCTCATCCATCTGCCACCCTGACCTCTGAGAGGAGTGCTGCTAGAACACCGAAAAAGTACTCAGGGTGCCCTGAAATTCCTATGCTAACCATCCATACCAGGCACTAGGGTCTGTGTTGAAAGAGGGGTGAAGAAGGGTCAGAGAGATGCAAAACTGCCATATGACAGTTCCTGTATTTCAAGGCCCAATCAGCAATGCATGAATGGGCATGTATCTAAAATTCTTGACAGAGTCCACACTCTCCTCTCTGCTCATGGGGCTATAGTGAAGAGTTCATAATTTTTCTTGGGTTTATTTTGGTGAATGTCTGAAGGCACCCCAGATTTCCTTTCACACATACCACCTTAGTCCCAGGAACCCCTGGGTCCCAACTTAAGGCTTTCAAAATGGTGTCAGATTTGGCAGATGCTGACAATCTTGCCTTTGTCCAGGACTGCAGTCCCTGATGGTGGCATTCAGATATTCTTTTCCTGGCCATTAATTGGTCATCCACTGACTCTAGAACATTTCCTTATCACTCATTTCCTGCATTTTTGTCAGGTAGGTATGGATATCTTGATAGTTACTATATGGCCAGTAAGTCTTCTGTCTCCAGTTACCTTGAAAGTTTGATTTCTATGAGAAAGATAGATTTGATAAAGCACCTTTTGCTTTGTCAGGTGAAAATATGGGCAAATCTGAATTGTGCTGTTCCGTTATCTACCGGATTGTTTGCCCATGGTTAACAAGGTCACTTTAACATGCAGGGTTCATCATGTCTATACAAGACCAGAGAACCTAATTTTATGCTCTTTAAAAAGTGAGGCAGAAGGAATCATTGGACTCAGTGAAAAAGTAAATGACCAGTAGCTGCTTTGAATGTGCACTATTTTGCTGGAAGTCTCCTTTGGAAATATCTGTTACACTCCCCGGGTATGCTATTACAGTGTGCTCTGGTTTTGCATAGAATTGAGCTGCATTATTTACAGGTTGTGTCTGACTGAACATATAAGACTTCTCTTTAGATCAGAGGAGATCATTTCCAAGACATTGTCATGCCTCTCACATTTCTCTGAGGGTCTAGAGACTGTTCTTTACAGTGGGATAGAGGTAGAATTAACACCTGCGTGCATGAGGACTGCTAGAGGAATGTCTGAAAAAGAGAGGAGGAAATGACATAAAGATGAGGCTGACTTCCCTTCCATTATAGGTGCCACTGGACTAGACTGTCCTAATGCTGTGAACCATTACTCCAAATGAGCGTTGTTTGACTGACACACATGTTGTTGGCTGGCTGTTTCCCACACATCTGTGTTCTGAGTGGCCACCAAAGCTGGCCGTTCTGCCTACAAGGTTGGAGTGCTCCTATTTGGACCTCTTGTTAGCAAGACATCAAAGACTCATTTTGCCTACTCATAAGCAAAAAGAAAAGAACTTCTTTAGCTTGCCTAAACTGCTTCTCTCATTCTGACTCTTCAAGAGTTGCCAATGAAAAGAAAATAGAGCAAAGTCATCACAAATACTGTGCAAGATTTTGTCTTTGCATGTAAAATCAAGTAAACGTAATAGTTCTACAAAAGCACTTGAGTACTAAGAAGCAGACATGGGTGCACAGTGGTGTTACTGTGGGTAGTGGGCATTAATAAGTTAGTAAATATATGATACCTTTTGATTTAAAGAGGGAGTTGACATCCTGAAGATCATGGCTGCCTGGCTCTATGTAAGAGAATCAAGCTTTGATGGAAAGAAAGAAATCCTCTTTCTTCCTTTCCACTGCTGGTACCCTCAGTTGTATGCAGCACTAGGTTGAAGGAATTTCTCCATCAGAGGTAACTACCCAAAATTATTTTAAAGCCATGTGCCTATGTAAAAAACTCCTAATAAGGACTTTTTGCAGTAGCTTTTACATCAAGGATGTTTTTTTTTCTCTATATATCACTCATTTTGTTTGCTGTTGTTGACAGAATATATTGATAGTGTTGCCTCCTACCTTAAGGATCTGGCATATGATGTAGTATTTCAGCTCTAAATCCAAACTGAAATTCTCCTCCTACCTGTTTCCCTCAGTCTCTCCTTCAGATTGTGTTGGTATCACTGAAAGTTGAAGATGTTAATTTCCTGCCAGGGGAGTGCAGGCTCAAGCCTTGAATTCATCAGGACTAGATACGGTCTAGAGTATTGCAAAGATTAGATCTTGGATATGTGTGTTCTCCTACCCTGAATTGAAAAAAAAAAAAAAATCTGTTAAAATATAATAGGTTGGATGCTATGCTGGATAAAGAATAAGTTTTGGAGTAGGAAAGCTGTTGTGGATAATTTAACTCACATTTTGATCTTCTCTTTACAGCCACAGGGACTTAAAACCAGAAAACCTACTGCTGGATGAAAAGAACAACATCCGGATAGCAGACTTTGGGATGGCATCACTGCAGGTTGGGGACAGCTTGTTAGAAACCAGTTGTGGGTGAGTGTCTCAGAACATACTGCAAAAATCAGTGATAGATTCCAGACATAAAGGTTGTCTATAGTAAGGGTTTCAATAAAGACATGCAGGCTTACACTGTGCACTGTTATTTTGCAGCAAGATAAAAAATTGCTACGATGCATGCAGTGTATAATATAGCTAAAAGAAGGGGGTTTAAGTGCTTTGCAGGGAAAAAAGGGCCTCTGTAGGAGTCACAGATAGATATAGAAATCAAGCCTTTCAGGTTTGGATTTATCTACATACACTGGTGTGTGTTTGCTTTCAGTGGCTGTATAATTTTGGGGAAACAGTAGTGTTAGCTGTTTTAAGAAGAAGCTTTAAAAATATTAAGGATAAAAAAAATTAATCTTGGGGTTCTGAAATGGAATTCGTGTGTTCCAGTGAGGCTGCCTGCTTGCAGTTCTTCCTATTCATGCTACACACACCAAATAAATCATTGATACGAAGCATTGACAGGCAGGATTGATAGGGAGAGAGCAGGGTCCTTTGCAATTACAAGCAGGGCATGAATGCAGACACAAAGGGGACAGCTTGGAGGAATATTGCAGGGTCAATCTAAAAACATTTCCATGGCAATTCAGTTGCCAGAAAGAGCTTTCTAGGAATTTCCAAGGGAACCAACAATCAGTCCAACAGCTGAGCAAAGCCCAGGTGCCTGACCAGGGACAGGACATGGTCTCTGGGAGCAATGCCCTCTCATCCCCATGGCTACCAGGGGCACCACTTGACCATGCCCTACTCCACACTCCCGTAGCTATGGCTTGGTGCCATGCTGACTGTGCAGCGGGGTAGCTGCAGTGGACTGTAGCAAGGGCAGCAGCTGCATTGAGCTAGCACCACTACACCAGCTTTTAGCTGTGTATGAATTTGTTGTAACTGCTAGCTCAGAAGCTGGAGTTACAGAGAGTACCAGTAGATTTCCACCTCCTTCCATACAGACCTACTCTTCCTGGCCTTTGGTCTTGTGAATCTGGTGACTTCAGCCCTGCCCCATCCTCAGCTGATTACAGTCCATGTTTTTTCAGACTGTGCCAAAGCAGTTCAGGATAGATGTGGAGTCATCATGGTCCCCTGTACAACCCAGCCACTGCCTTAGTCCTGAGCTGTACAGCTCTGCTTTGCAGGTCATGAATAATGGATAGCAAATATATTTGAAGTTCATGATGTGGTCGATTGTTCATTGATGATTACACTGAGACCCACCTGTTCCTTCCTATCTGTGTCAAGATTTGACCTCTTAACTGCACAGATGAAAAGCAAGGAGCTAGGAGTCTGCACATGTGCTCCTTGCAGCTGCTCTCAAATCTCCCCTCTAGATTAAAAAAGTTCTTCCTGCAGTAGGTCCCCCAAAGCCTCTACACTCTTTAGATAAAATTTCCCCTCTTCCTTCCATGAGAAAAAAAAAACAAAAAAAAAGCCGAAGTATAAAAACCAACCCCATCTTGCATTGTCCTGCAGGACTTTTCAAACTCCTCAGGAACCTTTCCATAGGGCTCCTATTCTTGTTAGCACTGGGCTCTGTCATCCAGGTCTAGAGTCTCAAAGGGAGAGTTCGTTTCCATAAGTGGTGCTGGAATTCAAGCCTCCATGCTCAAGCAGAGCCAGCCCCCACATTGCAGCCTTAAAATGTGCTAATAAAGAAATCAATGGAACGGAAGAGATGTGCCTGTAATAAACAGAACACAGCAGCAATGCTATGATCTCCTGCCTTGCGGATGCATTTTAAGTGTGGTGCCAATCAGCAGGCCTCTGTGTGAGCTATTACACCACTTCATTAATTCTCCTGGCATGGAGCCCAGCATGGCTGATACTGGTGTCTTGTGATCTCTCTGGTATCTGGGGGTGAAGGGAGGAAGGAAGGAAAATGTAACAATATGCCACACTGTTCACAAAGAAAGGCAATCCACTTATGACTCCCTTTCCCCCGGAGAACATACAGTAACCAACCTCAGAGCTTTTCAAGGCAACAGTTTTAGCTACCCTTGTAGTTGGTACTTTCAGCCAGCAAGAAAAGGAACAAAACAGAGTGAATCATGGCTGAGATACTGAACTTTAATGAGATGCTCCTCAAAACACCCAGAAGTTAATTTCCAGAATGGTTTTATCTGTGAACACTGATAATGAGATGAAACTGTAACATTTCCAGTGACAGTCATGCAAGGAGTCTCCAGGTATTTCTGTCAGTCAGAGTGGGAGGATTAGATGGGGTTGAGACGTGTGATGCAGCTAACTTTGCCAGTACAGAGCAGTTAGAGTGAAGTCAAAAAGTCTTTGCTGTTACAAGTGAACTGCTAAATTTAGTCCAAAGTTTGGATAGGCGTTAGGTCACCACAGATCCGTGACTGGCCTCATGAAGATAATCATGTAGCCTTAGGTATGCTGTATTGCATACCTCAGAGTCCATGTTTTCTAGGAGCTACTCCTTAGATCTGCACAGTTTTCTGTAGTACTGATGGCTACCTGGAGAAAACAATAAAAGTTCAATCCAGTTGTGTTTGTGTAGGAAAGGGAGGTAAGGATGGACTTGCTGTTTCATTGACATAATTTGTCACTGACAGACTGCACATTGGTCCTTTGTTGTAATGAATCCCCATTACTGGAAATGTATATTGCACAAATAGTACATATACTCAGCAAAGAGGAATAACCAGAGTTTTAAGCATGTGTCTTTGGACCCTTGAAAGGAAGAGAAACTGTGTAGGGTCTGCAGGAATAATTCTGCTTACAGCAGAAATTGCACAGAAGGTGGTGTCATGGAGAAGTGGCCCTTGAAATGCCAAAGTAACACAGTGAGTCTGTGCATTCCTGCAGGAACAAGGGAAGTCTGTGAGCAAAGAGTAAACAAGGAAAGAAGCAGAAGATGTGGTAGGATGCCACTTCTGTTACTTCAGACCTACAGGTCTTCCTCCTCTTTACAGGCAGTGGCATGCAGAGACACTCCCTTGTCTCTTTTCACAGCAATTCACAGTGTTTCAGAATGGTAGATATTGTCCAATCCATCCTGAATTGTCACTAGGCAAGAAGAGTGAGTGCCTTATAGTTAAGCCTCAGGACTGACACTGAGGTGATCTGACCTTGATTTCTGTCTCTGCTGAAGGCATTCAGGGTGGTCTTGAACAAGATGTATTACCTTTCTTTGCTTCGGTTCTCCATCTCAGCTAGTCATTGCAGAGCACATGTTGCTCTGAACATAAATTGCAGTCATTTCTGTAGGAGTCTTGGAAAGTAGGAAGGGTTAGGGCATTCCCTGTACCTTGTTCCTTTTTCTTGAACTAAGAGGGCTTATGGCTAAAATACAGGATTGAAAGATGATACTGTTGAGTCACTTGCAATTCTTGGGAGTCTGTAAAGATCCTTCCTAATTCCCATTGCTCTTTACAGAAACCTGGCAGAGTAAATTTTTGCCATCTTTTCACTTCTCTCTGTTTCACTCATCACAGCTTTGAAACACTGAGTCCTACTGAGTGGAGATTGCTGCATGCTGCCAGGTGACAGAGAAGCCACAGCAGTCTCTGTGCTGCCTGCCTCCAAATCTCTATTCCAACCAAGAGTAGGACAGAGCTGACATGTAAATGTAGCTCATTCCAACACTAGACTCAATCTCTGCAGAGGCAGTCAGTATGGAGACTGACACTGCTGACAACTCCACAATTAACTATATGCAACAGTTCCCGCATATTGGTATTTCCATAGGGAACCCCTGGCCTGATCCAGAAAGCCGTGTGCATGTGGGAAGAGCAGTGCTGATTATGATTTTATTGAGAGTGAGTAGAAAACCTCACTACTGTCAGCAGCATGATGGAGGAAAACAGCAGCTTCCAACCCCTGCATAGTCAGTTCCTCTGCTCTCAGCTCTCCCTAGCAGTTCCTAGCAACGTTTTGCAGACCCACAGATTGCCTGGATCTATTACTGGCTCTTTTTATGCTCAGGGTACTTATAACAAACAGTGCATTGTGTGTTTGTTAGAAATGCTAGCAGAGATCATCTAGCTCTTGATTCCCTTACATCTGTATTTGGTGTATCAGCACAACTGTGATAAGCGGGTAATTCGGAAGAGCAGTGTTCAGTTGCCACACACCTCAGTGTCCAAGCACCATTTCTGATTTTAATGACAAGATGTGATGTTGTGCATATTTTTCTCCTTTATAAGAAACTTGTGCATATTGCTTTAAGCATATGCAAGTGTCCTGCATCCAGTTATTGTTAGGGTTGCAAATTTAGGCTCTTGAAATTGGAGATGCCAGAATTAGTACTTTTTACCCCATCTCATCAAGAGCTTCCATTGCCAGCACTCCATTCCCATCTTCTTCCACAATTTGCACTCTAGTTTTGCCAACTTCTCTCAGTCATTTCTGCACCATATTTGCTCCCAAATCCTAGATCCTTTTCCACTAGGTTACAGCTATAGTTTCCCCCACCTGGTTGTCCCAGTCAGTTCCTGTCAGTCCTAGATCAATTTCCATCGGTTTTGACCTCACTTTGGTTTAAAGTTTGGTATGTCATGATAACCCCAGTCACAGCAGCTCATGGTAACAGCTTCAGGTAGAAAAACTGTTCTGTGAAGTGTTACTGGTCCAGATAGAATTTAGATCCTGATGCTCTATAGTTTCTGCAGGTAAATGCAAACTGCAGTTTTCTAGTGGAAGTTTGAGTAAATTCGTCTAGAGCCTTCAAACAAGTGAAATTGAAGTTTTCCCTTTGCGGTTGAGGATACTAGAAGTTTTTTATGGAGAAAAAACATTAATTTAGGTTAGACTTGGTGGAAACGTTTTGGCCCATACACAACATGCATCAACACACAAACGTGAAGCCAGTCTGAGGCAGACAAAAAGCAAGGAAAATTGTTGTTAAATTTGATGGTAAGTCGTAAGACACTTAAAATGAGGATTATAAAGGGAAATACCAGGCAACCTTTTTAATAACCATTAACATCAGCTTCACCTCTAATACATACCAAGGTATATTAGCAAGCTTTAAT